CAAAGATATACTTCTGATTCTTCACTGCAAGGCAAAGGGCAGTATCGCCTTGTCTCGTACGAGAATTCATCAATGATTTCTCTGGTTTAATTGCTGGCGATTCACCATCCGTAGTTTCCAGTTTCGCAAGTGCTTCGAGAAGAATCTAAATAAATCACAGATTTGAAATTCAGAAACAGATCAGTCAGGCTTATTAACTTTTATATTCTCCTTTCGTCCCGCTCGTGCAGCCACGTGCAATGGTGTTTCGTGCTGTTTTGTAAGCGATGAAGGAGCAGCGCCATTCTTTAATAAAAACTTTAACGGCTCTGTTCCCTCACATACGGCAGCGTAATGGATTGTATACCTAAAACACAAAGCATTCGAAACACATTGTGTGAACATGAAAAAGTCCAAACCAATTGTTGCTGTCCGGAATGTTAATATTTGGTTCAATCGTGCGTAAACGTTCAAGCACCTGAAATTAGGAGACCATAAGCTTAAGAATAAATTGATTGATTGTCAATAGTAATGAAACATTGAACATCTTCCAAAGTTAGATTTTAATCACGAAGCGAATACTAGTTCGACGATGCCAACCATGTATAGTATGTAATAATGGATGCTGCATATATTCTTGAATTGTCTTTGTTATTATAATTTCCAAAAACTTCTCAAGATAATTGCTATAACCACCTTCCACAGGTGTTGACGAGAGGAAGAGAACATCAATCTCTTCACTCGTCAACACCCGTGTCAAACGTCATTCCAACTGGAGAAATACCGCTACGGATTCTACCTGCTGAAGTACGCGCCGTCATCCAGACCATGAAGCAGCCACGGCTCCGGGACCGGACCATGTTTTGGTCGACCTCTTATAAGCTCGAGGACATCGCCTGCACGAGATACTTGCGGAAAATCTAATGTCCTACCTTCAAAAGAAAAGGATCTCCGACCAGTGGAGAACCTCCCGAATCCTTCTTCATAAGACGAAGGGAAGATTGTCAGAACTACCGTCCAATACGCCTGCTGAGCGTGCTTTACAAGCTTTTCAAAGATTATTCATACCGGATGGAGTCCAACCTGTAAAGCAAGCTGGATTTCGCAGGAATTCAGCTGCGTGGATCACATCCAGATAGTTTCGAGGATTATCGAGGTTCGCCGAGAGTAGCCTACCTCTCGTTTTAATCTTCGTCCTATGAGCAAGCGTTTGACAGCGTCGAAACTAATGCCATACTGTCAGCATTCGTCGACCAAGGGTGGTAACATGTTAGTGAGGACATTGACTGCTATAAGAACTGCTCTATAACGGTACAGCTATTCCATTGTCCCCATACCAATTAAGAGGGTTCGACAAGGCGACACCGTGTCGACAAACTCGTTTAGCGACGGGTTACAGTGGGTGACGAAATCACTGGATTGGAACGAGAGGGGTATACAAGTTGATGGCTTGGAGAGCCTTCGGGCCTCTAAAAGAAGCCACAAACCATCTGACGGACCCAGAGCTCCAAGCCCACCTGTTCGCTTCAACCGTTCTCCCTGCGCTCTGTTACACAGCAGAGACGTGATCTGAGACTTTACGTCGAAGGCACTTCAAACAACCCATGGAGCGCTGAGAGGACGTCTTCTGCAGTAACACCGAAGCACTCAACATCCTTGCAGTTTAGATATAAGATAAACGTCTCGGACTTTGCAGCTTAAATATGAGATCAACGCCTCGTCTTTGCGGTTCAGCGGAATACGTCTCAAAGGCAAGACATCGATGGGCTGCTCATATAATGAGAAGAACAGGCGACAGATGGACACTAAGGTCTGGAATGGATCTTTTGCGAAGCAAAACATCCTGAGGAAGGCCGACAAGATAAGCTGACGTGTTCGTTGCACGGATAAACCAGCTGAATTCTCAGCTGGTAACGAGTAATAGATCTGGATCTCGCGAATGTTGCCGCCGCAGTTCGATCCTAACATCGTGGATGACGCTGGCGAGAGGCAGAAACGGATGGACACAGTGCTGTGGCCTGCACGACAAGTGAAGACAGGCCATCTAAGTAAGTATCTAACAAGGGAAGGATACTTGGTCGAAGTAATT